CAATCTGCTGTTACATGCAGTGGACATCACCATCTGCTGTTACATGCAGTGGACATCACAATCTGCTGTTACATGCAGTGGACATCACAATATGCTGTTACATGCAGCAGACATCACCATCTGCTGTTACATATGCAGCAGACATCACCATGATTGTTACACATTGTGTTGTAATCTATAGAAATCATTGTTTGTTTAGATAATGGGAAATCAAATTCATTTGCATTTATTGCATACTGAATATGCAGCAAGAGTTTCTAACCTGTACATGTATGATGCAATTAGGTAAGTTTTTATTGTATTATTTAGTGTACTGTATTTATTGTATTATCAAAATGTTTATTAGTGTTACTTTATTTAGTGTTATTATAAAACAATTCATAAATAAATATTTATATCATAATAAATGTATTCAGTATATTTAAGAAAAACATCAAAAATCAAAATGTATATCATAAGTGAATTATCAAAAATGACAGTTGCACTTACACAATGTAGTCTGTGTTGTCATTGATTTAGTCTATGGTGTTCACTCTCACACATACAATGAAAATTTATATATTTCTTATTTTCAGCAAAGATGTGATTCACAGATGGACTTATCCATTTGTAGTTGACAATAACTTATGTGTCAATGAAAGTGGTTATATGTTGTTAAGACATAATATATACATCTCCAAGGATATAACATTAGCCAGGTACAATTATTTTAAGTTTTAACTCTAAAAATGGTAAGAGTGTGTCTTCTGTTGAAATAATAGGAATTTAAATTAACAACATGTTACAAACATGGAAGTATGGAGACTTGGAAACAATCTCTTGTTTGTTTTGCAATAACCCAGTTTTTGCAATTTATACACTCACATAATATTTTATTTTATTGAAAAAAACACTTAAAAACAAACAAGAGACTGTATGCAAGTCTAGCAAGCATAGTAATATTCCAATATATTTTACCTAATGTTGTAATATTTGTTGTCCAATAACTTTTTTTATTGTATTCTGTTTGACCTATACTCAGTTGAACCTTTGAGTCCTTCACCAAGGAATAGCTTAAAAGGTGGTGGTGGTCATCGCACAGTGCATGTTCATATTGCATGTGAACCAATAATATATTTTACTTATGTTGTGTACATTGCTATGACTCCCATATCAAACATGTGTTGTGATGATCATCATCCTTTAACAAATAAACAGTATAACAGTTAAAATATTCATAAAACCATGACTGTTACCATAGATATGATGTCAGTGACTGTTGCTATAGATATTGTGGTAGTGAGTGTTGCTATGGATACAATAGTAGTGACTTGAGTCAATGAATTTTGTTTTCAGAGGATGCGTACTGAAGGAGGATGTTGTTGTTGGCCAGGGAACATGTATTGGTACAAATACTGTCATTTCAAATAGTGTTATTGGTAGGAATTGTCAGATAGGTGAGATCATTTGCTTTTAATTTATACAGAAATAAATGAAGCATGTTTTGATGTCACATGACAAACCAACAAATTTTATAATTTTACACTATCAAACATTTTTACATTTCTTATATTCATGAGTGCAAGCAGTGGATGGTGTAGAATTCGATGTACATTGTCAACATTCAGGATCAATGGATGACAAAATTTCCCCATGTCTTATATTTCTACTCATCTTTAACGCATTATAGTATTCTTCTATATACTTAATTATAATATTATTGTACTATGGGTAATATACATATATTATTAACATAATGACAGACTGATTCTTGCCTCTTTACAAGTTTATTTGATCAAATGCTACTCGTATACAACACTACTTTCTACAACTTAGAAGATACATGTATAAGACACAAGATTTATTCATATTTTATTTTATTTCAGGAGAGAATGTGATATTAAAAAATGCATATATATGGGACAATGTTGTAATTTGTGGACATTGTGAAATTGACTCATCTTTAATCTGTAACGGATCAACAGTCTTATCTAATGTCACAATTCAACCTAATTGTACTATATCCTACAATGTAAGTAGTAACCATGACAACCCACAAAGTCTATATCATGTGACTGTTCATCAATACAATTAGGTGCTGTTGAAATTTATTTGTTTATTGGTCCAAACTTAATTATGAAAAAGTGCATACAAATATTTACTGACAAAGCATTGGTCAGAACTAATAGTATTAAAAGGGATAAACTAGTTTGTGTTTGTTTTACCACCAACGTCTTAAAATCCATATAGCATTAAAAACCATTAACAAGTTTACTTTACTGAATCTATAAAGGTGACTGTTGGACCAGATGTAAACATCAAACCAGGTACATTATTGACAACACAGTTACCAACACTGAACACAGGATTTGATGATTTGCAA